TACTGGCCAAGGTTGTTGAGAGTTGAACTGGGAAACTGTGGCGTGCTCTCCAGTCCTGTGTCTGATTTTTTTCACTTGGGTTCTGGGGCTCAGGCTGAGGTCCTCAAGCTTGCTTAGCAAGGTCGTCACCAAGTCTCCTCCCCGGCTCTCATGCCTTCTTAGCCACAGATTTCATGAGAAAGCCAGAGGCTCAGGTCTGTCTGGTACACAGGGACCTATCTTAAACACGTCTGTGTTCTCTGGGGGTAAAGTAGCTGCGGGTCCATGCAGGAACTGAAAAGAGCAGACGACTGGGGACTATTTCAGCCACAAGAAACACTCTGGGTGGTTCTCTGGTGGACTCTGTATTTCCTTCCCTGTGACCCCAATGCAGTGCAGTTAGGGACTATCAACGGGGTTCCCTGGGAAGCTACCTTTGGGCAGCAGAACAGAACTGTGAGGGTGCGGAGGGCCCATGGGCTTGGGGGAAGAGTTTGGTACCAAAGAACTCCCAGTCCAAACACACCTGTAATCGCAGCTTTCTGAAGGCTGAGGTAGGATTGTGACTTTGAGGCTAGCCTGAGCCTGGACCCTATCATGAGTGCCAGGTCTTCCAAAACTCTGCCTCAAAAAAGAAAGGTCCCAGCCCAAGCATGAACTTTGGGATCCTCTTCAGGATCCCCGGGGCCCCACCAGCTTTCTGCAGGATGTCAATCAGCTGCCTGCCCAGAGTAGCCTTAGGAGCAATGTCCTGACTAGACCACCAGACTAGAACTGCATGGGTTCCCTGAGAACCTTGGAACACAAGCACCCGGCTGCCAAGGCAGGTTCTGAGGACGGATGGGAGCCCTATGAGGACACCACATTCTGTGGGTGGGAAAAACACTCCACACCAGATGAGTCAGGAACCCGCCTGCCAAACAGCCTCCTCCAAACACATCGGTACCAACTATTTTTTCCCGTGTACATTGCATCCTAATATAATTTAGGCAGGAAAATCTTCCCTCTGGAGACGGCACGTGGAGACCTCCTGTGAGGTCCCAATGTGAACGTCCCCTGCCTCAGTGGCACAGTTATTCACACTTCATCGGGGGCATCACAGTTCCTTTATTGAGGGTCTCAAGGTACACACAAGGCAGTAACCTGTCCAGGAGCACTGAGGAGGGAGGCTGGTGCTGGATCTGGAATTTGAAACACCAGGTAGAAAATGCAGGTGATTTTTGTTTTCATGAGCTGAGGCCCTTACTGAGGCACCTGAACCGAAGGGCTGCTGTGCACCAGAAACTTCCACGGTGCCTTCACCCACCATAGCTACAAGTCCTTCATTATGACTGGTCACAATCCACTGGGTAAAAGGCGGTGTGGGGCCATGAAGGCCCGAAAACATAACTAAGTCAGGGAGACAGGCAGGTGTCCTGCACCCAGCACAGCAAGTCAAAGTCCAAGGTGGTCTTTCCACTCCATGGGAACAGCCCAGTCACAACGTGAGGATGTGAAATGGATGGAAGCACAGCGGGAACCCAGGCTGCGCACGACCGCTTTGCTCTTGTACACACTCTGCTGTCAGCAGTGGCCTGTCTCTATATGAGCAGGTCCCCAGATGCACATGCGGTTGCAATGGGAGAGGTGGTGATTCTTCTACTGAGGACCCCTGGCCAGGGGTGGGGCAGGACTACCAGACAGACACAACCCTAAGGCCCCCGGGGGGGCTTCCTGCAGGACATGCACTACCCCTGTGACCTGCAACTCTAACCAGCTCATGTGGGGTTAAGAGGTTCTCAAAGAGGAGCTTCCAATGAACACAGACAGCCGTTGCCTGGCTACTCCTACCTAAGGTGAAGGCTTAGGGGCATCCAGAAGGGCAGGGGATCCCAGAAGGCCTTGCACATCCCCCCTCATCTACAGACATCTCTTAGAGCTTGAATTCCTCAACTTACCAGAGCTCTCTGGGTGGCTGTGTGAGTTCTCCCAAACAGCTGGAATCATTGTTGACACATGTCAGCCACACAAACACACAAGCGTGCACAATGCAGTGAGACACAGGGACCAGAGCATGTGCAGAGACCTCCCTTTATTTACAGCCACCACACAGATAGTCTGAAACAAGCGAACACCCCAAAACCATGTCAGAGCCAAACCGAACCGAAGATCCCAAGTCAAACAGGAGCATTCCAGGGGTGCACAGCAGGGTTGGATTCTCACCCCGAAACATACAAATCTTCCTGCCAACCGACCTGGAGAGAAAGTGTATGTTAGTTTTCAACCTGCTTCACCAAGTCTTCACACTTTAGTTTGAAACTGTTAACCCAGGAATGTTCCTTCATCACAGACCCACGTGCAAGGTGCCCTGCGTTTCTGCCAGAGTTCTCTGTCCGTCCAAGTGTAGAGAAACTGCCAGTGTTCCGGGCCGGGCACCTACTTCCTGGCCGATCTCTCTCTAGGCTTTAACCTGGTGCCCTGGGTCTCTGCCCAGGGTTCTCTGTCCGTCCAAGTGTAGAGAAACTGCCAGTGTTCCAGGCTGGGCACCTACTTCCTGGCCCATCTCTCTCTAGGCTTTAATCTGGTGCCCTGGTCTCTGCCCAGGGTTCTCTGTCTTTCCAAGTATACAGAAACTGCCAGTGGCCAGGGCAGGCGCCCAGGGTTCTCTGTCCGTCCAAGTGTAGAGAAACTGCCAGTGTTCCAGGCCGGGCACCTACTTCCTGGCCCAGCTCTCTCCAGGCTTTACCCGTGGGCTTCCTTGGAAACCCGCTGGTAACAAATGTTCAATGGACCTGGTCTCTGCTGACGACAGCCCAGTGCCAACTGATATATTCATTCCCATGTGATTCTGCCTGCTTCCCTCTAGCCATGTGCTTCCTCAGTCCAGCACTATGCACCAGAGAGCCCACATCCTCAGGAGCACTCCTGTGCTTCCTGCCCTGGCTGTGCCTCCCTTCAAGGGCCACACCCCTAATCAATCCCCTTTCCAGGGCTCCTTCATGTTGTCATACCACAGCAGATGCTAAGTCCCTCGACTACCTGAGATCATACTTTTCTCTTGGTGCTGGGGGAACTGATCCCCGGGCCTCAGACATAGTAAGCATATGCCCTACCATTGAGCCACACTCCAGCCAGACCAGCACTGCTCTTTACCCTCCCTGAAAGTCACATGACAAAGCTTTAGCCACTGCTGATGCTGAACCTGCTGAAGATGCTGCTCATTCTATGTGTCAACTACAAAATGACAGAGAGCATGCCGGGCGTGGTGGCACAGGCCTTTAGTCCCAGCACTTGGGAGGCAGAGGCAGGCAGATCACTGGGAGTTCAAGGCCAGCCTGGTCTACATAGTGAGTTCCAGGACAGCTGGGGCTAAGGGGAGACTGTCTCAAAATGACAAAAAAAAAAAGAAGACAGAGGGCATGCTGAGACCCCCTGGGGTAATGGACATGCACCTTGATGAGAGAAGAAATACAGGAAGTGGAAAGAGCTTCTGACCTCCATAAAGGCCAGGATGTGTGCTAGACAGGCCCCCGCAACATGGCCACTGGCCCGACGCAACTTAGACTCTTGCGCGAAGATCTGAGTTTGATCACCAGAACCCCAAAAAGGTGGAAGGAGAGACCTTGGCTTCAAAGTTGCCCTCTGACTACCACTTAAAAAGAAAAAAAAAAGCTACAGCTGGTAGCACAAGCCTTTAATTCCAGCACTACGGAAGTAGGGTACTCGAATCTCTGTCAGATCAAGGCCAGCCTGGTCTACAGTGACAACCTGTCTCAAATAACCAAAACAAAACAAAAACAAACCAAAAAAAGGTAAAGGAAATACAAATTTAGGACTGGATAGCTCAGCAGTTAAAAGCACTGGCTGCTCTTGTAGAAGACTCAGGTTCGGTTCCCAGCACCCAGATGGCCGCTAACAACTCCAGTTCCAGGGGATCTGACACCCTCTTCTTGATATGGGAGAACTTACATAATTGCAGGCAAAACAGTCATGCACATAAAATAAAAATAATAAAATAAATCAGGTGAGCCAGGCGTGGTGGCACACGCCTTTAATCCCAGCACTTGGGAGGCAGGCGGATCTCTGTGAATTCAAGGCCAGCCTGGTCTACATAGTGAGTTCCCGAACAGCTGGGGCTACAGGGAGACACTGTCTCAAAAAGACCAAAAAAAAAAAAAAAATCATCTGAGTCCACTGTGGGTCCCATCACTTGGGAAGCAGAGGCAGACGTATTTCTGTGAGAATGCCCACCTGGTCTCCAAAAATAAATAAAGACCAAAGTAAATAAAATTTAACAAACACAAATTCCAGTCTCTCACACTGCAGACGTCTGATAGCCACAATGAGGCATGGGGCTGCTCTGCATCCAAGCAGACTATTTCCATCACCAGAGTTTGTGTGAACTGTACTGTGTGCACAGTGATCTTCTGAAACTAATGGAGCATTCCAGTAATCCCAGCACTCAGGAAGTGGAGGCAGGAGGCTAGGTTCAAGGCCATCCTCAACTACAGGAGTTCAAGGGTAGCCGGGGTTACAAGAGACCCTGTCTCTAAACAAACAATCTAAGGGCACCTTATATTCTTAGGACAAAGACCAAGGTCCTCACATAGCCCTGGGGCCCTGGGTCTGGCCCTCCCCTACCTTGCCACCTTAACACCCCAGCTTGCTCAGGCTATTAGGGTCTTAAGTTCCTCCACATCGCCACACTTTCTAAGGCCTTGGGTCTTTGCTCCTGCTGTCTTCTGGCCTTTCTAGCAAACTTGGACTCCTCCAAGAGCATCCAGCTCAAGGTTCCACTCCCGGAAGGCTTTCTGGTCTCATCAGTCTCCCTGTGACACGTACACAGTCTCCTAGGACTTCCTCTCAGACCTAGGTTTCAATTACAGCCTCACATGAGTGTCATTATTTAAAGCCCCTCCCCACCCCTCATTCATCTCTGACATTTAGCAGGGTGCCTGGCCAAAAACCGATACATATTTATTACTGAAAGACACGCCATCAACAGTTTGTGGAGACCGGAGCGCGCCACGTTCTGTGCACGGTCCTGTTTGCAGTATCATACATGATCATCAAACTGCTGCTAGAATGCTCACACCTGTTACTGCAAATTCTAAACCCAGGGAGGCTTCTCCTCCCGGGCATTTACTCTGGGTCAAGGTCGGGCTGTCTGGTACAAGGCTGAACCCACCTCAGGCAGGTCCAACCACACAGGAGCCTTTCCCCAGACCGTCCACCTTAAGGCATTTTCAACTGCAGCCTCGACGCACCTGTGCCACCGCCTGCAACTCTCAGGAGGATGCAGAAATGATTGCGCGCCTTCGTCCAGTCGCTGGGGGCTGCAAATATCACATTATCTGGAGGGAAAAATAAAACGTGGTTTAAGCGGATGGTTTCATGCGATGCTTACACCCTGCAGAAATGGTGCAGACCCGGCCGACAGGCCAAGGCGCAGCACCTCCCTCAACCCCATCGCCCATCCCTTCCCCGGGGGCGGTTTCTGGAGCCCCGGGAGCTGTTTCAGGAGGCTCAGCCCGGCGCCCTCAGTGCACGACCAAGAAACCGGTAGAGACCACGTGACTACCCTCGGCTCCGCCGGAAGCCGCTTTTCAAATGCACTTCCGGACGGAAGTGAAGTTTACCAACGAGTCAGCCGCTAGAGGGTCGCCCTGGACTTTGAGTCCGCCAAGTCTCCCTTAAAGGGGCCCAGGCTGGAATGATGCGATTAGAGATGCAGGAAGAGCGTGCGTCTGGGGTGGAGGGTGCACACTAGTGTAGACGGACTGAGGCAGAAGCGGCCTGGAGCTGGGGGCTTGGAGATGGCCATTATCCGTCTTTTAAATTTAATTTTATGTGTCTGAGTGTAAGTGCACCCGTGTCGTATCAGAAAAGGACGTTGGCTGCTCTGGAACTGGAGTTACAGGTGGTTGTTAGCCGCCGTGTGGGTGCTGGGAATCGAACCCCAGTCCTCTGCAAGAGCAGCCAGTGCTCTTAACGCTGAGCCGTCTCTCCAGGCCCTGGCTTTTATCTCTTTGCTCCTCCCTCATGCATCCCTGTGAAAGGAATTGGTCCAGTGGTGTGCTCCTGTCTACAGACCCCAAAGCTAAAGTTCTGGAGACATCAATCACGTGACTTTTCTGAGTGCACCCCAACAGGTTGTGGGAAAGCCTGGTTGAAACACAAGTCCTTCTGCAAACTTGTAAACAACCCTCCACACCCCTCACAGCAGACCATTTAAATGATAAATCACAAGAAGTTAGAATTCTCTTTTTTTTTTTTTTTGAGACAGGCTCTCCCTGTAGCCCCAACTGGTCTGAAAGTCTCTATGTTGGCCAGGCATGCACCATCAGGCCCAGCTAATAGCTAGGCCAGGTGGTGCATGCTTTATTCCCAGTGCTCTTGAGGCAGAAGGCAGGTCTGTATAGTTCCAGGCTAGCCTAGGCTGCATAGGGAGACCCACTCTAAAAAACAAACAAACAAAAACAAGACACAAAACACGGTAAACCAAAGAAAAAAAGAAGCTGGGCATGGTAGTTCACACCTTTAATCCCAAAACTCAGGAGACAGAGACAGGTGACTCTGTGAGTTCAGGGCCATCCTGGTCTATGTAGTGAGTTCTAGATTAACCAGGGCTACATAAAGAGACTCTGTCTCAAAAGAAAAAAAGACTCCAAAGAGGGCGTTTCATTGGGTTTCTTTGTCTCTCTTTCCAATGTGGCCACTTGGAATAAATTTCTTTTTTGCTGCTTTTACTATTAATTTGGATGTTTTATTTGGCTTTACCAGGGACAGGTGGCTGAACCTGGCTCGTTGGGCACAGTCTGGCAACCGACCCCCTGCTCTTTTCACCATCCCCAGTGGAAGGAAGGAGGAGAGGGTCTACGTGAGGATGAAGGGCCACTGTGCCTACTGGGAAATCTGCTGGAAAGACCCCTGGGCCAAAAGATGAGCTCATGATCAAAGCTTCGGTAGGCAGAGGGGTCGGCCGGCAGAAATGCTGTGTGGGGTCTAATCACCTGACCCAGGAAGGATTTTCGAGGGCTGTATAAATGGAGGAACCAGGGAGGCCTCAGATCACTGCCTGCCTTGGCTCACACCAGCCCCTGCTTCTGCAGTACGAGCTACAAACCCAGTGTTTGGCACACCTTGTCAGAGGGGCACCTTTGACACACACACTCTGGTTTTTTCATTGGGACATGTCCTCTTTGACTAAGCCCAGACTCCCATCCCCTCTTGCTTAACCCACTGTTTTCTACGTGCATAGCACCTTAGCTCCTCATCCCTAACAAAATCAACTTAAAGGAGGGCAGGTTTATCTGTGGTTTCAGAGGTGTTGGCCCTTGTTGGCTGGCTCCATTGTTTTGGTCTTGAAGAAGAAGCAGAACAAAATGGTGTTGGACCATGTGGCAAAGGAGGTACTAATTTCATTGAGTTGAGGGGAGGGGAGGGAGGGAGGGAGAGAGAGAGAGAGAGAGAGAGAGAGAGAGAGAGAGAGAGTCAGAGAGTCAGAGTCCCTGTAGTTATACCTCTCTTTTACAGGAATTAAGCCAAGATGGACCTGGTCTGGCAAGAAGAACCAAACCGTGGAAGTGGGGGAAGTTTATCCTTTATTATTCAAGAGCCCCAGAGAAACTGAGGGCCAAACCAGAAATGCATACAGATTGTTATAGGATTTTTCATGTCATCCCTTGGCAGTTATCACATTGGATTTGAGACTTCCACACAGAAGTGTACATGCCTCTTAGGCTATTATAGGATATTTAAACAATCCCAAGTTTTTACAGAAAAGCAGATATGGGGCTGGAGAGATGGCTTAGTGATTAAAAGCATTGGCTGCATTTGCAGAAGACCTGGGTTCAAATCCCAGCACCTACATGGTGGCTACAACCATCTGTTACTCCAGTTCTAGGGGACCTGACACCCTCTTCTGATCTCCGCAGGCATTGCACCACACAGGTGCACTTTACATGTGCAGGCAACACACTCATATACATAAAATAAAAATAATAAAATATTGGAAAATAAAAGCTGATGTTTGGGTTTGTGACATTTCCCAGGAACATGATATATTGCTGATGACAGTATAATCTAGCTATTTTGACAAGATCACAGACGGTGTTTTTTGGATTGGCTGCCTCTCCTTGGCTCAGCCTGAGCAGCCTTTATAATCCGAGCACAGGCAGAAGCTTCCAAAGACCCGACTGTTGCTGCTGTGTACCTCAACAACCACTTACTTGTTGGGTTTATTATTAGGAGTACACAGGTTCTTGTCAAATGCATTTGTTAATACTTACTCAAATACCACACAGAATAAAGTTATGGTGAGGTCATCAGTTCCACATTAGGTTAATTTTTTCCATCATCGCCACCTCTTAATAGTGCCATTGAATTATGATCCCCTCAGTGGATCTGGATCAACCCATAGATCTTGAAGTCAATGCCCTCTTGATCTCATTGCTTTCCAAAGCCCCACCCCTGAACACGGCTACATCCAGGACCAAGCCTGGATTTCAACAGTGAGCTCCTGGGAGACATTTCGGACCCAAACCACCTACAATCATCCTACAATCAGTTGGAATCTGTGATTTGGAATCCAGGGCTCAAACCCTCAGCTTCCCAAGTGGCACCCCAGTCCAAACAGACGGTGCCAGGTTTCAATTATTCTAAGCTGTCTCCAAGGGTTAAATGTGAAATTCCACAAAGAAGTTGATCATTTACCCCGGGGCCAAATTAGTGCTGTGTAGAGAATTCCTCAGAATTGAACCATTCCATTCTGAAGGGAAGCTTGAAAAAGTTCTACAGGGAGATGCTTAAGATTCAGGAAGTGAAGAACTCACAAGTCTCAGGAATTCCCTGAAACTGACCAGATGCACATGGCCCCTCCCTCCCTGGGATTACATAAGCAGTATGAGGGGAGGAGACCCTGCAACCTGTAGGTCTTGCAGAGAGCTCCAGGGTTCCATCTTTCATGATTCACCACCCATGCAGGGGTGGGCTTTCAATGATACAGTTGTCTGTCACACAACATTTACCCCTGTGGCTGGGACATTTTGTAGTGGATCCTTCTAACCAATGCACTGTGATTGGAATCAAGTTTATCTACAAGTCAAATAAAGGTGGAGTTTTTAAAAAGATGGATGGTGCACACATTTTACTGTAAAATGGAGAAAAATAATGTCTGCGTATCTTTGACAGGAAATGAAGAATTTTGTGTTCTCACTGAGATGGGTATCTAACCAGTGAGCAATACTCCTTCCCAAGGCTTTTTAAAATTTGTTTTTGGTTTTGAGACAAGGTCTCCCTGTCACCCCAGTTGGCCTGGAACTCACTACATAGACCAGGCTGGCCTGGATAATACAGAGGTCTGCCTGCTTCTGCCTCTCCAGTGCTGGGATTACAGGTGTGCCTCACCATGCCTGGCTGCCTTTTATTCTTGGTGTGAGTCTGTTAATCTGAGAACCTTGGCGGTACTTGGAACATACATGAGAGCAAATTCCTCCTGTCTCGTGTCCTTAGGTCTGCTCAGCTCGCACCCAGTTCAACAAGAACTATTCGGTTTTGTCGGATCCACGGTGTTCAACTTTGGTTGTTTTGTTTTATTGTAGGACCACCTCTGTCTTGTTTTACTCTATTTTATCAGCTTGCATGATAATTAAATTTGTAAATAGAGAACAAGTTCAGCTAGCACAAACAGGTTTAGGAACAGTGACTTTCAGGTGCCATTGGAGTACAAGTTATTGCTATTGGAGCCAAGTCCAGGTCAGTCAGGGGAGGAGCCTCTGGCCATGTCTGTCCTTTGGACTACTAACACACCCCATCAGTAAACTTCACCGACAGGACCTGCCCAGGACTAGAAGGGGTCTCTCCGTGTTGCGCAAGCTGGCTTCAAACTACTGGGCTCAAGCTATTTGATTCTTCTGCCTCAGGACCCTGAGCTCAGGTGCCTTATGATGGTGGCGTTTGAGTTTGCAGAAGTATTTCTGCTGCTTGGAGCCAGAGAGGGACAGTTCCCAAAGTCAGCAGGGAAGGCAGGACCAGGCACAGCCCCAAGCGCCTCCTGGTGGTAGCTCTGAGCAGTGCAGCCTCTGATCCTTAAGATCAAAAACAAACCAGACCCACCCCTGACGGTTTTCTTCCTCCTGGCCTAGGACCTGTTTATTGTTAAGACACAATTATTGCTTCCCTCCTCCTTTCCTGTATCTTCCGCGTTAGAAAAAAACCCAAACACAGCAT